CCTTACCGGTCATTTTTTTAAAAAAAAAAAAAAAAAAAAAGACATGGGGCCTAGTGGGAGGTGTTTGGGTCAAGGGGGTGGATCCCTCATGAATAGATGAATGCCTCCTCTCAGGTGTGAGTGAGTTCTCACTTCATTAGTTCCCTCCAGAGCAGATTATTAAAAAGAGCCTCTCTTCCTAGGCTTCTCTCTTTTGCTTCCTCTCGGGCCATGTGATCTCTATGCATAGACCGGCTCCCGTTCCACTTGATGCCTTGACTGGAAGCAGCATAGACCGGCTCCCGTTCCACTTGATGCCTTGACTGGAAGCAGCATAGACCGGCTCCCCTTCCACTTGATGCCTTGACTGGAAGCAGCCTGAGGCACTCGCCAGACGCAATTGCCCAACTGTGGACTTTCCAGCCTACAGACTGTGAGCCAAATAAATCTATTTACTTTATTAATTATCCAGTCTCAGGTATTCTGTTACAGCAACACAAAATGGAGACACATGAGTAGTGTGAATAGTGCTGCAATAAACATGGGAGTGCAGCTATCTCCTTGACACACTGGATCATACGCTTGTTCTCTTCATAGATTTTCGAGAAATCTCCATACTGTTTTACATATGGCTGTACTAACTCGCATTCCCACCAACAGTGTATAAGAGTTCCCTTGTCTCCTCATCCTCATCAGCATTTGTTATTTTCTGTCTTTTTGATAATAGCCATTCTAACTGGGTGAGATGATATCTCATTGTGGTATCGATTTGCATTTCCCTGACAATTGATTTGCATTTCCCTGCAATTCCCTGACAACTGAGTATTTTTTCGTATACTTCTTGGCCATTTTTATGTCTTCTTTTGAGAAATGTCTATTCAGGTCATTTGCCTAAAAAAAATAGTTATGTTTCTCAAAAGAAAAAAATCATTTCAACTATTTTTATCTTTTTATTGAAACATAATTGATTACACATATTTGTGGGGTACAGAATTGAATCAATACTTGTGTACAATGTGTGATGAACAAATCAGGATAATTATCATGTTCATCAGTACAAATTGTAATCATTCCTTGTGTCTGTTAACCAATTTCTCGCTAACTGCCACCCACTTCCCCCTTTCCCACCTCCAGTAACCATAGTTTTGTTCTCTCCTTCTGAAAGTTCAATATATTATTGTATTTGTTGTTTCTTTCTTTCTTTAGCTCCCACTTATGAGTGAGGACATGTGGTATTTCTCTTCCTGTGTCTGGCTTGTTTCACTTAACATAATCTTCTCCAAACTCATCCATGCTGCTGTGAATGGCAGAATTTCTTTTATGGCTGAGTAGTATTCTGTTACATATATATACCACATTTTCCTTATACAGTCATGTGCTGATGAACATTTAGGTTGACTCCAACTCTTGGCTACTGTAAATAGAGCTGCCATAAACATGGGAGTGCGGGTATCCTTTCAACATGATGATTTCCATTTCTTTGGGTATATATCCAATAGTGGGATTGCTAGCTCACATGTGATGGAGTTTGGATGTGTTGTCCCCTCCAAAACTCATGTGGAAATTTGATCTCCAATGTGGCAGTGTTGGAAACTGATTGAGTCATGGGGGCGGATCCCTCATGAATGGATTAATGCTCTCCCTGGGGGAGGGGAGATTAATGAGTGAGTTCTCGCTCTATTAGTTCCCACGAGACCTGATTGTTTAAAGGACCCTGGCACCTCCTCTCCTCTCTCTCTCTCTCTTGCTTACTCTCTCCATGTGATCTGCTTGTACCCACCAGCTCCCTGCCACTTTCCACCATGAGTAGAAGCAGCCTGAGGCCTGTGCCAGATGCAGCTGTCCCACAATCGTAAGCCAAATAAACCTCTGTTCTTTATAAATCACCCAGTCTCAGGTATTTCTGTTATAGCAACACAAAACGGACTAAAACAACATGGTAGTTCTATCTACAGTTGTTTGAGAAACCTCCATACTGTTTTCCCATTTTAACCATTTTTAAATATATAGTTCAGTACTGTTAAGATATTCACATTGCTTTGCTACAGATCTCGAGAAAATATGGCAAGAAGGTGCATCTTAGAAGCAGAGAGCAAGCCCTTACCAGACACTGAATCTGCTGGTATCTTAATCTTGGATTTCCAGCCTCCAGAACTGTGAGAAATAAATTATTTTATTTATAAATTATGCAGTCTAAGGTATTTTGTTATAGTAGCAGGAACAGAGTAAGAGACAGAAAGCAGATTTGTGGTTTCCAGGAACTGGGGGAGGGGGAAATTGGGAGTGACTGCTTAATGCACTTTCTGTTTGGGGAGGGATGAAAAGGTTC